CCAACTTTGGAGCCAAACGTCGGAAGTGTTCAATGAAGTTCCACCGACTGTCGAGGACGAGTCCTAGGTACTTCATCGTCGTCTCGACGCCGATGGTAACTCCTCCCGCCGTTATTTGGGACCCACCCGGAGGTGGCGCGTTCCCGCGGCCATGAAAACACATGGCCTCGGACTTGTGGAGCGCCACCTCGAGTCCCAACTGCCGGATTCTCTCAACGACTGTCGCAACCGCTGTCGCCATTAAGTCGGCCGCCGCCTGGTGTGACCTCCCGTGCGCTAGCACCAGCGTATCGTCGGCGTAGCATATTGTGCTAACGCCGTTCGGGAGGTCGGTGCGCAGCACCCAGTCATAACCGATGTTCCACAGGAGCGGCCCCAGAACCGAACCCTGTGGAACACCGCGTGACATCTCTCGCCGGTTCCACTCGCCCCGGTGACCGGGGTAAATGACGGACCTGTCCGTCAGGTATGCCTCGATTACACGACGGAGGTAGGTAGGCACCCGATGATATCGGAGTGCCTCCAAGATGCAGCTCCAGGGCAGGGAGTTGAAGGCGTTGGCGATGTCCAGAGACACCGCCACTACGACCTTACCCCTGGACACTGCAGTCCCCGTCGTCCGGTCCCTAACGCGCATGATGGCGTCCACCGTGGAGCGCCCTCTGCGGAAGCCGAACTGGCCGTCCGATAGGTCCGGCCCAATGTCCGTCAGGTGAATATGGTTGAGTTAGGCGGTGCTGGTGTACGTGTCATGTTCGTGACCGGGCGCCGTCAACTGGGACTGGTCAAATCCGGACTGTAATTTTTATTATCCTTTAAGGTTTTTTTTTTCGATTGCTTTGACTGTATTTTGGTGTTACATTGTTCTCGCACAATCCAAACAACTATGAAACTAAGGTAGAGAATTGTATTGTGTACCTGATTGAAAAAGAGTAACCTATGGAGTTTCTTGCTCGTTCTTCTCCATAGGAATCTACACCTTGGAATGAGCAAATAGCTTCGCTTTTAATTTTTTTTTGTTGTCGTTCAAAAGTGCCTTTCTGGTCTAATTGAAACAAATGATTTTGACTTTGACTTTGACATCGTAAAATGGTCATCCGAATTGCCATATCACCACGACTTTCAATTCCATTTGTTCTCACCACACTCCTTTTTAATCCCATACGAAAACCTTATAATTATATCCGTGAAATATTCAAATTGTTGCCTTGTAACAATATAAACGGTTAGGGTCACCGGTATCTAGCCGAACATTCGGTGTAATAGCCACTTTATGGCAGTATTAACTTTGTTTACGACAACCCTGGCCCTTACAGGTACTCTTGAATTAATTTTATTTTTAAGATTATGAGGAGTATATTGTGTTCGGAGTTCAAGTGGGCTGTTAATGTTATGTTTTTTATGATTAGACGATGTTTTGGTTTCGAAGGGTTGAGCTTTTGTATCAATTTCTTTTTTATCGTTGTGATCTGCTGTACTATTTTTTTTAAGGGGGGAAAATCACCGAATGACTGCTGCTCCCGCCTGGATGAGGCGGGAGGGAGTGTCAGACTCTTACTGACTAAAAACCACCCCGTTCCTTCTCTGCACGTCGAGCCGGAGCCCCGGTTACCCATTAGGTTCTCTGCGACGTCTGCTGTAGTATAGGCCTCCTCTACGAATGAAGGTTTGTCGTAATCTTAATTCTTAACAAGTGGGTTAGCAAATCGCATTTTTAGGTTCAGATTTATCAATGAAAGCTGCTGTACTATCTCTGTCTAATGTGTAGTCCTTAAGTCAGGTATCTCGAGAGTAAAAATTTAGTTACATGGCTATATTTTGATATAGATTTCATCAGCATAACATCACGACGTTTTATCCCCGAAGGGGTAGGCAGAGGTGCACATTTCGGCACTTAATGCTACTGTGCAATGTAACATCTACTTTTCACTCAAATAGGTGAGCCTATTACCATATACCGGGCACATATCCAAACTCCGTGCTACTACTGAGATTTTAAAAACCCAGTAATACTTTGCTTGACCCGGGAATCGAACCCGAGACCCCTTGCCCGGCAGTTGCACTTGCGACCACTTGGCTAACGAGGCAGTCATCAGCGTTATCTATAATTGTCTTAATGTGTTAATTTGGGTCATCTATAAGTCAAACTTCATTTTTATCCTATTAGCCTCTTTTGCGTGGTGCTAAATATCTTTTTAACTGTTTGTGTATTCCGAAATATTGGAAACTCATTCAAGGTCATTTAATCAGGTTTGAGTACGACCTTTAGGAATTACTTTTGGTATTAGGATATTACTGTTGAAACGAAATGTCTAAATTTTATTTTAGTATAATCCCCAAATACCTTAACCCTAATATCATTAGAATTTTATACCCTAAATCTGTAGATGTTAGTATTAAAATTTTATATAGCACTGTTCAATCCAATTTTAATTAGTGAATTAAATCCAATACTCTATACTTAACAAGTATACTTACCAATCAATGATTTATATACGAAATGTCCCAAAACAATAATACAATATCATCTGACGAATCTGCTTACACATTACCGCACAGCAAAACTGTGGAATGATCTGTCGTTGGCGGTATTTCCGAACCGATACGACATTCCAACTTTCAAGAGAAGAGCGTACTCCTTTTTAAAGGGCCGGTAACGCACCTGTGACTCTTCTGGTGTTGCGGGTGTCCATGGGCGGCGCTGATTGCTTACCATCAGGTAATCCATCAGCTCGTTTGTCTCTTATTCCATAAAAAAAATTGGGACAATCTGAAGGATTTAACTTAAATAATAAGTAAGAAAATGAAACAACGCAATAATTTCACATGTTTAATGAACAATATTTTCAAATAATTTTGTTTTTGTATTGTTCAAAATTGTAAATGTATATAGAACGCTATATAATAACACCAAAGCCCTGTTTACTCAATGTGAAAGCCTTATGTCCTACGTCTTTGCTCGTGAGTGTTCAAAATTAGACACAGTGCGTCTCAGTGTCCCACCACTGGGTTTTAGTACGAATTTTCGAACCAAACTCAGACGTACAATAAACACTGTGCATAATTCAGAAAACATTATGGTATACCATCAGTATTTTACAAAATGTAAATAATAAACAGCTTAACGATAAATTGTATCGGTTATTGAATTTCAAGTTACTTTTTTTTTATATTTTTACTAGGCTAGCTTTCACCTTTTCTAGGTTTTGTTGAATTTCTTCCATTATTATTACATAGGTACATAATTTATTTTTGGACTGATTTATCAGTTTGATTTTCTATTTTTAGATATTATAACAAAAATAATAATTAATTTACATAATTCAATTTAGTTAAGTAGGTATATATTTTCGAAAAACTATACATCATAAATTAACGGATAATTTTCAACAAATTACATCAACATTTCGCGGGCTGTTTTGTATTATATTAATGTCGACAGCAAAATTATAACATTATCCACTAAATTCATCTCACAATTTTATTAATTAAAGTGCAAAACGTAAACTTATTACAAGTCTTAAATAAAAACTCGTGATCCGAGTGGTTTTAAAGAATTAAGTACAAAACTTGTTCATGGTCCTCTAGATCCGCTTTTAAAATTTATTTACATATATATTTAGCATAAAGTAGATAAGAATAAGGCTACAAGTAAGGTGTTCGCAATAATGTTCAATGTTTTGAGATTGGACGGAGATCGTGAAGCCAGTGGGACCCCAATAAACAATGCGAAATGGCTCATTTTTCTCTCTTATGGACTTATCGATCGTGACGTTAGGCGTGTAAATACAGTTTGACTTTTAAATGGAGAATTATAGCCCAATGCTGCTTCCATGTTAAAAGGCGATAAAATAGTACCGTTACAAGTCGAGCCAAGCTCCAAAGTACTTCTTACTAACTTGAAAACACAACTTCGCAATTACGACGCCACGCTAATTATTGATTCGTCTACCGAACAGAATTTACTTTTCAATATGACATTTTGTCATAATCGAGAAACAAGTTTGTCAATTTATATTTAAACTTACAGCGTATCAGCCAATTGTGTTATCCAACTTTACAAAGTTAATTATGTTAGTTTTAATTAAAATATGACTTATGCTTCTAGCAAGCTTACCAGCGGCAGGTAGCGTTGACCTGTCAACGTGAGAGCAAACTTTGGCCCTTATTTCAGTTCTACGAACAAAATTTATTTTCTAGGACTGTCATATGTCAGGCTTGCGTGTGGTGTAAGAAATTATAGTTTTGAAGATAGCTAGAAAATGGAAACTATTTCTGAAGCGGAAAGGCAGCGGAAAAGATTTATGTTGCTCGAAAATTAAAAAAGATGGTCCTATATTTTTGGGTAACTCGTACTTGAGACGGAATTTTAAAAAGGTTCGTACAAAATGCACCGTTGGATCTTGTTAGGGTGAATTAAGTAGGTTAGATTAGACGCCGCAGTAATAAATAAACGTCAGGCAGACTGACACATAACATTCCACTTGACTTGATTTTGCCTTCGCTAAGAACTTAACGAGTGAAATGTATCTACGTCTTAACACGCGACTAAAGAGAACTACATTTTCGAGAAAAAAAAATGTTAAGTATCTTTGATATTTAAAATATAATTAATATTTCAAAATTATATAAAGTACAAACTTGTTTAAACATCATAACTATCTAAGATATACTGGTACTAGTAAAGTGACTTGTTCAAGGCATCACAATTCACGAATACAAGTGGCACCTTAGCTAAAGTTAACAAATGACAAACACAATAATTAACATATCCCATACATTCATTTGGAGCGACATGATATCACAGAACCTTGTCACGTAGCATCAGACGCACTGCCAAAGGCTCGCTTGGCAATTTATATGAATTTTAACAACACAGATGATGAATACCCTTAAGTGTACTTGTTTGGTTGGGAAGGGGTCATAAATTATTTCAAAATAGGGTTGTCGGTCGCTGACACAGGCTGTTCCATTGTACGTGTGTTGTAAAGTATAAACAGTGGATACGCTTTAAGCATTGTTTAACAAACTATAGTGCCACGAGTTTCTTTTGTTTTATTATATGTACCATTTAGTTTTGTCAAAATTATGTTTGTAGGGAATTAAGTTACATTGTGCGTCTACATTTTGTGTGCAAAATAGAGATGTTGAAATTATTTTTTCTATCCATCATGGCTACAATTAACATGTTCAGTAGTTGATTACATTGTTTCTGGTTTGGTATTTTTTTTTCGTTTCTGTATCCTTTTTCACGTTTCACGATCTCAGTCCACAATCAAAACTATTTTTTACATTTATTTGGATTTTGGTTTAGACTGCAGCTTCTAAATGTTACTGAAATCATGACCTTGAAGTTAGGGTAAATTATTCATCTTGGTGATGTTAATTTTTCGCTTTACGTAATCGTCCCAACTTGAAGTTCTAGTCACAATTCAGAAGCAAGTCCTTTGATTAGTAAAAAAGAAGAGGAAAACAATAAATAAAGTACAATATTAGTAGCTAAAGTTTATCTTAAATTATATACAAAATACGCTCCGTAACAAAACGTTGTGCTATCTAGGTTACATTAAAACTTATTGCATTTTATGCGTTAAATAGATATTAGCGTTAGAATTTCGTTTAGTAACAAATGATAAAATAAATAATTGATAACTTCGATATGGTACCGATTTGGTGCCAGGAAGACGATACAAGTACGATACAAGACGATACTCTCTTGATGTGTTTGGTTTTTATTAGGTTATATTACTCATAAGTGAGAGAGAATGTAATGCAAAGATATTATACTCAAGATAAAACTATTCACATATTTTTTGTTATTGATTACAAGTAGAAAGATATTATAGACGTGAGAAAGTTATTAGAACAACTTGCATCTCAGATATTCCTGGCACACAAGATAATATTATAAAATCCACGCGATATTTATACATATTATAAAACATTAAGGGTCCCCAAATTTAGACATGATTTACAATTTATTTTATTGAAGGAAAATACTTCTCGTGCGTTGCTAAGCAACATATAAACAAAAGAGCCCACTTAACATTTTTCTTTTCGAACGTTAGTACCCTTTCATCACTATTTTGTAAACAACGTCTCCTATTTCATGAGTATTTTTATGAATACCCTTTTCTTAAGGCATAATAACGAAAGAACCTGATGCAGCTTTGCTATACTCTTTTCAAATTTTTGGAGTCAAAACGACTACTCCTGAGTCAGGTTTTCATTTGTTAATAATGCTATTATCAACATAATCATATTTTAATCTTTGTCAATTCGCAATGAAAGGGCTTTATGAAGTACGATACATTCCTCAAATTTATATCTTTTGAGGCTTATTTTAATTTTGTATATCCAAAACGCAAACTAAAATTCTCAGCCAATTTACTGTATCTCGTTTAGTTTAAATAATTTCTTTAACACTATCTACGCTTATTATGTATAGTTTATGCTATTTATATTTATCTATATACATGTAAAACAGGTATATAACACCAAGAATGAAAGAAAGTGCCAATGATATGTGTTGTCTAGTGATTATTTTAACTGTTAAAGATACAAAATTAGTAACGCTACTAATATTTACAATAAAATTATCGTTAGCTTATTTGGATGAGGTGAAACTTGGTTAGGACTCGAAGATTTATAAAAGAAAATGATGAATGAACAGAAAATAGTGATGAACTTGTTTCCCCATGATAGAAGGATGTAAGCAAAACAAGCGATGTTAAAGTAAACATTATGTATAAAGTATTCCAAACCGCTGTAGTTTCATGTTTTTGTTTAACAAAAACTATTGCTAAACAATGCTTGTTCGCAAAATCAAATTTAATATTAGCATTTATTAGACCTAAACAAGCTTCACCTCTCTCACTAATGGACAGTAAACATACTTCACTATGATTACGAATTTTCTGGTCATTAACGATGACTACGCGACCAGTATAACTAGACTTCGAAGTCATGTCTATGGGTATGTAGGACAGAGATACAATGGGCCTATCTATACTGGTCGTTGGCTTACATTTATTTTTTACTAGATTGTGATAGCAGCTATTCTAATATACGTATGTGTTATAAAATGTTAATAAGTGCCTGTAAACACTTAGCTATCTTACACCTATCACGGCCTTGAATGCGCTTACCAATAAAATACTATATCAATGATGATTATTCATATCAATTTTATATAGAATCGTAACTGCTTTCAAAAAGGCTTTTATGCAACTATTATAACTGACACCAATGATATTAATATGTATAACCGTATTTAAAGTCTTTCTTTCATTCGACTATTGATTTTTTTTTTCATAATGTTACATTGATTTAGATATCGTTCTCACAGCAAGCGAATTTTAAAAAACATTCTTAGCACTATTGGTCATTATATTATTAACGTTATGTAGAAGCAGACGATTTCCTTTTCTCCGTCTTATTGTCCCTTAATTTCGTTTCATCCAATGACTCGATCTTGTGATCCCTCAGCAGAGGCGTGCGGGCGTCTGTTTTCTCTTCATTCACTTTATCCATAAATATATCATTTTTGAAGTTCATTACTCTGACAGTATTGTCGCTTTCCACAGATTCCTGACGGCTACAGCTTTTACTGCTTTCTTTATTGTTATCCACCTCCTTTTCTTCTGATTTCTCACTGTGGTACGCCATGTTGTCGAAACATTGAGATGGTACTATATTTACGGATTTCATCATTGGAATTGCAATCGCCAGCGCGGGGCTCATACCTTGAGGGCTGGGAGAGAGACGAGTTGTGACCGATAGGTCCATCCCCGGCATCAAAGTTGCAACTGTAGGGAATACAAAAACAAATTAATGTCACACCATCACAATAAAACAGGCAACAGACACAAAACGGTTTAGAAGATTATTTATTTTAACAATCATGCATGTGCATGCTCACTGTTATTTGGGATAACTGATTGCGTTTTTGATTAAATATTTAAAAAAGACTTGTATAAGACATTATAGAGAAAGATTATATAGAAAGAAATAAAAACACATAATAATATAACATTGACAGACTCTCACAAGACATAAACTAGTGCTAGAAACACGAACATTCGTTGTACAATATAAAAAGCACAAGAACGACACTGTGTTAGTGTTTATATTAGTGTTAAGTTATCTAAAAGTGTACCGATGTGACGGGCTGTGAGTTTGGAACTTCAATTGTTGTATTGTTTTGACTATTTAGTGGTGGTGGAGGTGTGTGGTTGTTGCCTGGAAAAAACACTGAACCATCACTATCTAAAACATAATATAACGACAAACGATGTTTTATTCACAAATAATCGACCAAAGAAGCATTCACGGATATCGCAAAATGAAAGGACCTAAAAAATTTACAAAATCATAAACAAACTACAACAACACCAAGTTTGGAAGCAAAGCAAACAAGTTCGGGGTACAAACACAGATATACAAAGTCCCGAACCTTCATCCCCTCGAAGCAAAGGGACCTAGACGGTGGATCCAGTGCTGCTTGAAGATACTGCCGTGTGCATACATGATAATGACATTGGTAATGATTGATTAGTGACTAAAGATATATTAGCATTCCTGTAAGCTAAATCCGAGTGTGCAGGCGATATAGAAAGCCCATTCGGTTCCAACGGCGTTGTGTGATGCTTTCTAAAGCATGTTTAAATTTTTTCTTTTGCAGTTGTTTGGTGTCGTTTGGATCATAGCCTCTAGCTCGCTACGATCACCATCTGTGGAGGATTACATTGCATAAGCTACTGTTAGTCACGTGACTAGTACATCAGTTATTATTATGGTACGGAGTACATTATCAATGACTTTGTGTACAGAAACCTTCAAGACATTGTGTTTTAGATTACTTCTATCTTGGATGCATTTAATTTCATTCGTGTTTTTGTCAATAGAGGTGGGTGCCCAAAAATTTTCAGTTTTCAAAACAACTTGCACTTTTAAGTAGAAGTCAAAGTCGTTGATAAGTTACATTATTTTAGCCACATCCATGTAGGTAAATAAATGCGCAGTTATGATCAATTAGTCAAGTTAGTATGTTTGTTACCATTTGTATGGTGTTACATATTTCTGTTAAAATTCACCAGTGAATGTGATATGTTCATCTATATTTGTGACAACGCCAATTTGTTTTCATGTCCATAAAATTTTGTTTCTACTTCGTGATATCAAACATTTAAAGTGCTTAAAACTACAAGTGGATTACAAAGGCCATTTTCCATATTAAAATTTTGCCTTCAAGTAAAATTTTGGAAATATTTTACATTTGTCTTGCTATGGGTGTTAATTCCACAGTTTTGTGTGAAATACAATAAAATTGTGAAGCTATGAATAATTTAAATAAAGAAGACATCGAATGGTTATAAAATTCAGTTTTATGGTTTCAATTTATTATCATGCAGTTCTTTAAATTGTATTTGATCGTTCCGATTTTGCTAAAGTGCATTTTCATTTTCTTTTATTATAGTTTTATCCACAGCTTCAGATAAAGTGACATTTATTAGCTTTGTGACTTATTCATAGAACTTACCCATGTTAGGTCCTATCATGTCTTTAGGATGATTGGTTTTGATGGCATTCATTCTGCGGTTTACTACCTGAGGACCCATGCCTGACGCTAAGGGATTAGGAGCACCTGGCACTGGGGCACCTAGATCAACAATGCTTACTTTGAATATCAAAACAACTTCCAAATGTTCAAGTGATAAATGATGTATTGGCTATAAAGATAAGCAATTTCATTATAATCTACTGCTGGTGGAATTTGGAAAATACTTACGCATAGGTGGCCTCGTAGGCTCTACATTGATGACTCTTCGCCTCTTCTTCGGTAACTTTGCTCTTGCTTGTGTATGCGAGTAGTACATGGCGAAATTGGATACTATGACTGGCACCGGAAGAGCTATGGTTAACACCTGTTGGAATAAGAACAATATTTTATTTGTAAAAGTGACAGTGACGAATGAGGCAGATGACATTTCTTTCAAATATTTACCAAATACCATTACATTTCTGAGAAAATACGTGAACATTTCAGGGAGTTCTAAACATATTTTTGTTTTTTCTGGTTCTATTCATGTTTCGAGGCTTTGCATTTATATATTCCTTTTAAAAACATGTCATTAAAACTTATTCATGTTAAAAGTATGTGTTAAATTTAGATAGTAGCTAATGATTTTTAGATAATTCAGATATCAACTTGATAAAAGGCATACTTACGCCTGCTAACGCGCAAAGCGCACCGACAAACATGCCAACATAGGTCTTCGGCGCCATGTCACCGTATCCAACAGTCGTCATCGTCACCAGCGCCCACCACAGCCCCAGTGGTATGCTATTGAAGTCGTTATGAGGATTCGTTTGTATCCTCTCCGCGTAGTACACCAGACTAGCGAATATTACAATACCCAGTACTAGGAAGAACACTAGCAGCGTCAGCTCCTTCGCTGATGCCCTGAAGGTCTGAATCAAAATCTTGAGACCCGAAGAGTGCCTCGTGAGTTTGAACAGCCTCATGATCCTAATGATAGAGAAGAACTCCAGAATATCCGCGTTCTCAACGTGTGACGCGTACTTCTGAAGGATCAGGTCTATGTAGAAGCTCATGGTGGCTATGTAGTCGATGATGTTGACGGAAGATTTGACGAATTCACACTTATTGGGTGATGAGATGAAACGCACTAGGATCTCTAACGTGAACCAAGCGTTACACACACATTCTATATAGAAAAACGCTACGTGGGCGTTTGTTTGCACTTTGTCCAACGCCCAACCCTGCGATTGGTTGGCAGTCGTCACTGTATAGTTTCTAATCACTGGCACTCTCATGTCCGGGTGAGTTTTTAGACAGAACGATATTATTGACACGCATATGAAGAACACAGATATGACGCCGATTATCTGAAAACAAAGAATCAGTTAAGTTAATTGCTTCTACAAATCTTTTAGGGTAACGTGTAAAGGGTTAAGATTTATCACACGATCCCGACATCAAACAATTCATTGAACTAGTCTCTAAATCCCTGGAGTCATTAAACGGCGAGATCAACATTGCTTTTGTTGAGATTAAAGCAGCCTTCACAACGAACCTTTTGCCCTTCAGCGGGACATAAAAATTACTACGTTTACATTCTCATGTAAAAAATAATTAAAGTAAATACAGGACTTTTATTGCTGGAATTAAGGGTGCTTTTATTTACTGAAACACGAACGGTTAACGAGCCAAATGATAGTATTTACACAGAACAGAGTTTTTTTGCAAATGTTAAAAAGGTTGTTGAGGAAAAAACAAGTACTGTGAAAAGGTTCTGCGTCGGTAATGAGATATGTTAATGACAGTACATTAGTGAGTTCATGATTGTCTAGGAATAAGTGGTTTGGGGATTCTGACTTCTACGTGTTTGTGGGAAATGTCATACCCTCGTGGTTGCGTTTCTAGGTAATAAGATACTTCATTACAAAGATGTTCTTGCCTCAAATTATATTTCATCTGTGAAGCCCTGATAAGTTCTTTCAATTGGACCAATGGATTGTCATTCGATCTAATAGATTGGATTGTACTCTATACCATTTTATTCTGTATGATTGAACATTTGATCATGAATTTTATTGTTCATTCGATTTGAACAAAAATATTCTTATAGTCATTTGTAATAACAACCAAACATATTGATAGATTTTTTTACGAAGTAACTAACACATTTTTAGTTGAATTTCTAGTAATGACAAAAGTTACTGTTTTTATGTGAAAATTGGCAATATCAATGTGAATATGGTAATAAAAAAAAAACCATTAAAGGCGAGGGTTTTGTGGCCCGTTGTTGCCACTCTTCAAGGTCAATACCTATTAGAATATTTAGATTTGCATAAATTTGAATTAAAATTGTTACTGAAAGTGGCTTCGTTCGTAGTTTGATAGCTTACTGCAAAATATTTTATAAAATTTTTTTCTAAAACAAAATGGTTTCAGTTTTAAGCTTGTTAGGAATTTTTAATATTACGTGATTTAAACAGTTATCCAAAGTCTTTTCAGAAATATTTGACTGTAGATGAAGATTACAATTATTAACATTTCGAGTAACTTCTTGAGAAGAATCATTTTAAAATCTATTAGCTATTTCCAACAACCTGATTCATCAAAGACAGTAAACTGAGCTACGATCATATCGATTGACATTAAATCCTCTAGGACTTTTCTTTATATTTTGTTTATTTTTATTATCATGTAATTACCATATTTTAAATCTAAATCCATAAACACAAATAGACTACAGTGCATTCTTCTACCTTAAACTGACTTTCCTTAAAATATTTTTTTCTCAATCAAGTTGAGATTTCAATATGGCGTTTTATTCTTTCTTGATAGACTGTCTTAGGTACATGACGAATAGAATTATTTTAACAGTTTTAACATTCTTAACTTAACCATCTCAGCTACATCAACATAATCTCTATTTTCCCTATTTATAAAATAACACACGCGTAGTATATAAATCTATAGGGATAAATAAAATTAGATTGTCTGTTTGAAATTTTAAAATAACCGCTTTTTACTACATACATATTAATATACATACGATGTACACCAAAACAATATATTTTTTTAAATTTTTGTCTGTATATCTGTCTGTTTGTACTGCCTAATCTCTGGAATAGCTGGACCAAATTTACAAGCGTATTTATTGAAGGTAGCTGGTGTACTAAGGAGTGACATAGGCTACTTTTATTTTGGAAAATTAAATCAAAAAACGTTATGTTCTAAAATCGATATTTTACACGGACGAAGTTGCGGGCAACAGCTAGTAAATAATAAGCATTTACCTTAGCAGCATTAGAGCTATACGGCTCATCAAAGAGCGACCACATCTGTGGCTTCAGATGCTGCCACCACGACACCGTCCCCTTCATGTAGTCCTCTTCGAAGCCAAACTTTCGGGCTACTTCTTCATCGGTCGGCTTCTCAGTGTCTAAGTCTAGCCGATCTAGCACTGCTAGAGTTTCTTGGGTGTCCCGATGCTGTAGGATTAAGAAAAGAAACATTGGTTAATATTTTTTATATATATAACATCACGCCTTTTATCCCCGAAAGGGTAGGCAGAGGTGCACATTACGGCACTTAATGCCACTGTAATATATCACCCACTTTTCACTATTTATGTTATGAGTCCCATGTAATAGGGGGTGAGCCTATTGCCATATATCGGGCACAGTTCCAGACTCCGTGCTACCACTGAGAAAAACCCAGTAATACTTTGCCCGACCCGGGAATCGAACCCGAGACCCCTTGCCCGGCAGTCGCGCTTGCGATTCTATTTGTTTTTCTTGTTTATCTTCGTTTATCATTGTTATTACTGACTTCATAATATTAATAGGAAATGTATTATAATTGCTCATAAACTTTGGTTTGGTCACGTTCCACTCAGCAAGTTTAAATACCTCATGGGAAATAGTTCCAGTCCTAACTGTACAGAATGTGGCTTTATGGAGGATGTCCACCACTTGCTGATGGAATGTATCAGGACGAGGGCTGGGAGAGAAGCTTTAAAACATAGGTTTAGAATTAATTTATTAGATGTTGGCGTTTTTCCTAGTATATTGTCACAACCTTTATCCAAAGCAGCTATCTTTTTATATAAAACTAGCTACTTCCGCGCGGTTTCACACGCTCTGCTCAGCTCCTACTGGTCGTAGCGTGATGTTTTATAGCCTAAAGCCATCCTCGATAAATGCGCTATCCAAAACCAAAAGAATTATTTAAATCAGACTTGTAGTTACGGAGATTAGCGCGTTCAAACAAACAAACAAAGAAACAAACTCTTCCGCTTTATATAATAGTATAAGATAAGATAGTAATTATAGGAGTAGTATTTAACTCGTCGAGTACCGGTTTTGTAGACACAATTATAGAACAATAGGTTGCGGTCACCGGTGACCGCTTGGTGTTTGACAGTTTAAGTTAATGTAAGTTTTCTTAAATCTGTTTAGGGAATGATGGGTCTGGCAAGGTCTTTGTATGACCAAAAGACTATAAATTAATAAAGATAATAAATAAATAAGATAGTTACAGATCAAAATAATACATAGGGAGTTTAATGGTCAATTTTCGAATTCAGGAAATTGGGAACAAGAAAATAGTATACTTCGTATGTGTATTGTGTATGACACAATCGATGACCATGAAATTCAATGACCCATAAGGTCACAAACTCTTCATATTTCCTTTTATTTTGCATTCTTATCAAATGTATTGTAATAAAGACCTTTAAAAGTACCTATTAAAATAACAGAAAAACGACAACACTCCCATTTTGTTTGATCTATTTCAAAGACAAACAAACAAACAATGTAGCAATCAAGGAACGCAACAATAAAACAATGGATCCTATTAATTAAATAACGAAATGGCCGACTGTGAAACAGAAATAATTTTAAATAATATCAGAGACCGTGAATCCGATTTTAATTTCACATTTAAGTTGAAAATAAAATTAATTGGACAAAGGTTTCGATTTCGCTGGTATAAAATATGAGGGTTGGACCACAAAAATATTTCGTATCAGAGCATCGGTCGAAATAATAGGAAAATATCGGACCCACAATCATTGGACCTGAATTTCCCATTTCAGCGGGAATGTAATTGGAATATTTTATTCTCTGTTTTCGGTTGAAATTGGAGATACACTGACGATATTTTATTATTAATGGACAATTTGATGTTAAAGTGACTGATGCTATTATAGTCTGCAGGGATTACGTTGTTTGGACGTTTATCAAGATTACCACTTTAACTCGTCGAGTACCGTCTTTGTAGACACAATTATAGAACAATAGGTTGCGGTCACCGGTGACCGCTTGATGTTTGACAGTTTAAATATCTTTGTTAAAATATACCTACAACACTGCTACCTTCACTCGCGCATTAAATTAAGCACATATTTTGTAAGGTTCTAAATCTAGGATCTAAATCCAATATCCGAAATAATTGTATGACTCATGATCTACGTCAAAAAGACAATTTGTGTTATTAATCAAATATCAATGCTTTGCTTCGCTTTTTTATGGAATAAGCCGATAAACGAGCAGTCCGATCGCCCTGATGGTAAGCAATCGGCGTCGCCCATGGACACCCAGAATACCAGAAGCGACACTACTAATGTGTTACCGGCCTTTTGGGCTTTAGGAATTTGAGGATTTTTGGGGATTCAGGGATTGGGGAGATTGGGCTGAAGATTGGGATCACACGACGAAACACAACGCAAGTTTTGTTTTATATTGTTTTTCTGTGAGGCCGTGGTATCACTCCGATTGAGACGGCCAATTCGTGCAGAAGCATGGCTCTTCCACACTTATCCATAGTTAGGCTTTGCTTTGATCTAAATGAAAAAGTTATTTCTTTAAGTCTATATCACACTAAACATCTAAAAATACATTGTTTTGAACCTGCAAAACAAACAAAAACCCTAGTCCAATACTTCAATAACGCAATTCATTCCATTTCACCGAAGGGCGTGAACATATATATGTGTGTACCGCAATGGTTGTAAGCCTGGATATTTTCCATCGCCATGGAATGTTATTGAAACATGTCCTGCATGCTTCTCTCTTGTTTATATTAAAACGGAATACGTGTAATGTGATCTGTTTGTACCTATGTTTTTATTTTATATTACGTTTTTATGACAGAAGTTCTTTGTTAGGTTATTTTTTGCTTAGTAACAAAGTTTGGCAAACTGTGCATCTGTATTCGAATCTAAAATGGCCAAGACTCGAAAGGCCTAAAATGAGTTGGCTGTCCTTCACAATCACAATCATTTATTGGACGAAGAAGGGTTTCTCCAGTCTAACTGCCAGTGGTTAGACACGATGAGCTGAAGATCAAGATCAGTAGCATACGATTGGAGAATTGATTTATCGTTATTAAATAGACCTATGTCTCATAGTGAAAGAAAACATAGTAACTTGTGAAAACTAGTTTTACTAACATATGTATACTCTGTCTTATCCTTTTAAACCTTTTAAACAAACAGAAGAAAAGTCACGATAACAAAACATAACATAACATAACATAACATCACGCCTTTTATCCCCGAAGGGGTAGGCAGAGGTGTACATTATGCCGCTGTACAATGTAACACCCACTTTTCACTATTTATGTTATGAGTCCCATGTAATAGGGGGTGAGCCTATTGCCATATACCGGGCACAATTCCAGACTCCGTGCTACTACTGAGAATTTTTAAAAAATCCAGTAATACTTTGCCTGACCCGGGAATCGAACCCGAGACCCCTTGCCCGGCAGTCGCACTTGCGACCACTCGGGCAACGAGCAGCAAAAGTCATACATATCGTATATGAATCTCTATACAACAAAAACGCGACAAAATCCAAATATTTTCACGAAAGCTGCAAACAAGAGCAACATTTATTTGCTATGGCCGTTTCGAACGCTACACGTCACGTCCGAATGACATGCTAACATATTCGTCACGTACACTGTACTGCACAATAAACTGCACCCTGAAATACTCGGGATACCGACCTCGTAACACGTTTTATTTGCACTGCAGTGTAAAATTACATTGTAGTGTTGAAGATGGGAGAGTTTTACGGTATTATTGTTATGGATGACATTATTTTAAGCATGTTTGAGCTTGTAATATAAAATGAAATGTTTAAGTATTAGGTTGATCGTCTTCTGTTTCTTGGAATTCCACTCTACGTTCGCTTAGTTACTACTGAATGGAATAATTATGCATGTAATGAAAGATTTAGAGATATGCACTGATCAAACTATATGACATGATATTATGAAGTTAATGCAACTAAATTGTTTTTTAGGGAACATAGAGTATAGTTCCCTAAGATCGGAAAACGAGGATCCTCCGACCAGGCGAGGTGATCGTGGCTGGCGGGCTTTCTGGCCAATAGTTGTTTGTTGGGATTTTCTATCCGTGTTAATTTGCATGTAAACTTTGCATGTGCGATGTAGGATTTTATGACGTCATCCGTTGACATGTGACATGTGTCGCCACAGTTTCATTTATTGGTATGTAGTGAAAATAGAAGAAGGGTCAAAAGAATGAAAAGTATATTTTCTTGGTCATCGGGAACTTCCTTGGAGTTTCTTGGATTTGGTAATGAGTTTTTGGTAACCAGATTTGTTTTATAATGAAGGCTGTGAACGAAAAGGAGTAATTGGATACTTGGTAACTAGCCAAATTCAACACTTTTTTCGAACTGTCAAAAACGACAGTTTTCTATGAATTTTGTACGAGATTGTGTATTGTGACGACATGTTATGAGTATAAAAAGTATACTTATTTCTTAAAAAATGGATAATAATAAAATTACTTTGATTATAAAATCAATGATTATTCTTTATTATTTTATTGTATTGATTAGTTGAAATAATTTATTTTGGATTAACGTACTTAGGTACAAAGACGAAATAAAAGGCTGCATAGTTCTTATTTACATAGTTCAATAGTCTATTTTTGTCGCGCTAAATTCAACACACATACACACACACACACACACCACACAATATGTGTTATGTTGGTAAATCTGCATGAAACAGGAAAGTTTCGCGGCTTCAATGTGACGGACGCAAATATGTTGATACGCCATGCGACTCTTCATGCATAGAAATACGAGTTTACATCACACTGGCGCTGAATTTTAAATCTAATATTTTATTTTTGATATTTTGTGACAGTTGGTCTTGTTTTAGATACTACTAGCTACTTCCACGCGGCTTCACACGCTCTGCTCAGCTCCTATTGGTCGTAGTGTGATGTTTAATAGCCTATAGCCATCCTCGATAAATGCGCTATCCAACACAAAAATAATTATTCAAATCAGACTTGTGGTAACGGAGATTAGCGCGTTCAAACAAACAAACAAAAATACAAACGCTTTATATAAAAGTATAAGATGTAGATTTTTCTATTCAAGAGTGACGTTGTTTCTTTTTAATTTTTTTAGGGGGCAAATTCATCAAATTATTGTCAGACTCTTCCTGACTAAAAACCACCCTGTTCCTACTCCTACACCTCGAGCCGGAGGCCCGGTAATCTTTTTCGTTCTCAGCGGCTCCGTATCGGCATCAGCCCTATTGAGCCATCAGTGGTGGTCTGAAGGCTGTTCCGGGTTCTCGAGTCTGGTTCTGGCCGGATGGCTACCCGTGCCGTGCCGTGAGAGTGACTAGTACAGATTTTGTTTTCAATAGCTCAATTATCAGATATAATAAGAAATGAAATATGATTGGAACAATTCATCTTAAAAATAAGTTTACCTGAAGAAAAATATTTTTAAGACTGGAGGAGACGCTATTGCGAACAACTCAAGAAAATGTACTTCGAACAACCCAATTGCAATCATTGTTACACTACTCAGAGATAAATCTAGAAAGTTGTAGCTACTCGTCCTTCTATAATTTGGGGTTTTATTAGAGTACTACAAACCGTACCTAGCAATAAACGTGTTGATTCAACAGCAGCTTTTTATGCACTCATTTATTTTACACGAGTTTTCTCAAATAACGACTTAGGTTATATAAAAGTTTGCCAATTGAAATAATGAACTTTTCCCATTTTATTTTTGTGTTATTTTTTTTTTTGCGATGGCAATATTGTAACTGGTTGCTGTGCAATCAAAATTTGAATATTTTTTATGATGATACTTGCAGGTGGTTGTAAGATTTCTCGTTGCTTTTTTGTTATAATATTATACTTTTTAGTGAGGACCATACGTTAAAGAATATAAGGTTTGCATACAAAAATGTACTACTTAACACGTTAAACGCCATAGGGGTCACCGGTGATCGACGTTAGCGGAAGATTTACCTTCAACAGTTTTTTATTGGCAGTCAAAGGCTTAAAGATACACTAACTAGTATGTACTGTTAATGTTCGTACTTCCATTGTAATAGCGAGCACACCAATTGTCAAATATTGCACAATAAAATTTCAAAGTACCATAGTATGAATCCTCAGTTAACTAAAAATTACGAGCTACTCAAGTAAATGTACTGAGAAAAGCTCTACCAGTTTCGTTCTACAGAGAGACTCTGTTTCATGAGCAGCATGCGCGGTCGCAGTGATGTCGCGCAATTTACTCTGTAATCATCCCGCTATCGATATCGCCTCTGTGACTCAAAACTAGTAGAGATTTTCTCAGTATATTTACGTGAGTAACTCGTATTTTTAGTTGATTCATATGTCTCACGATAGTTATTATAAAAATCAAGACCTCATTGCACACATTTACAAAGTCCCAATACTGCATTCATTGAGTTTCTTTTGTCTATTTCTTCTCAGTTTTTTGTATCTAACACAGACTATTTCTGGTGACCTATCTATGAGATCTTCATAGCCTGTGTGATAGCTAATCAAGCCACGACAGGTGTACCTCCACAAGCATATTTTTTTAAGGGGGGTAAATCATCGAATGATTGCTCCCGCCTGGGTGAGGCGGGAGGGAGTGTCAGACTCTTACTGACTAAAAACCACCCCGTTCCTTCTCCTGCACATCGAGCCGGAGCCCCGGTAACCCGTTAGGGTCACCGCGACTCCGAATCGGCATCGGCCCTGTTGGGCCCCATCTGTGGTGCTCTTTGAGGCGCGCGCGGAACGCGACGCGCCGTACGCTCGACCTCCACAAGCATAGTAGGAGAATTTTCCTCTAGTATTTATCGAGCTGTCTTATTATCTTTAGGTCTATAACTTATGACACATCTCTCTACACAATATGGGACTAGTTGCTTAATATTCGGTTCACGGTTCCAGCCCTCGATTCTTCGACTGACTTTTAAAACTTTTACGTAAGTTATCCAGTACAGTTTGTAGGAACATGTCGGCAAATCCGAGCAAACGAGAAAAGTTTCACTATAAAGAACTAGACATAGGGAACTTATGAAATTTGTTGCGGCATACTGCTGAAAATATTCATTTGTTGTTAGTAAAAAATATTTTGCTACTTAAACTAGTAGGATTTTGCTGTTGGGTGGCTGGTGTTAGTTTCTGCACGATTTTCCACTCTAGTAAAGTTTTCGCATTATAGTAGCAACACTTGGGCAATTGCCTTAATCTTATATATCATAGTTAAAGTGTACTTGCATGTTGACATACTAAGCGAACAAGTTTTGTAAAATAAATATGCAACTTGGTCATACTAAATGTGTAACTACAGCAGAAAAAATAAGAGATATATAAATAAAAGTAACGAATTCTACGAAAAGATCATCTTTAGAACTTCAATTTATTAGCACTAAGCTGGATGTCATTGGTTCATCCTTAATCTCCTAATGAAATTGAGATCTAAAGTTACTTCGACGCAAACATTTCCCGACAAATACCTCCCGTCTTCATTTTGTAATCGAATCTTTCCGAAATTAAATTCTCCAAGTCAAACAAATAATACGAAAACGATCAATCGATTCAAGAAAATTATTCTATCCGATGACCTTGAAAGATCGGTATTGTTTCCGACGTTATTTATAATATTACTAGCTTCTGTCAGCGGTTTCACTCGTATTCCCGTGGGATGTAAAGTAGTCTTATTCTTATCTTAGTATCAGAGACATTGTAGAACATACCTAATTTTTTAAGAGTAAAGAATAGAGTTTTTGGCTCGTTCTTCTCCATTCGAATCTATATTTTGGAATGAGCACCCAACTTCACCTAGCTTCACTGACGTATGACTGACAGACTATTATTTGTTTTGTATTTGTTGACATTTCAAAAGGACCAAAATATGGTTTATTGAAAAAAAAAAAATCCACCGCTGTTCCAAATTTCATTCTGATCCCTTCAGCTGTTTTGACGTGATTGACTTACAAATAACGCTCGAAGTTGTGTTTAAGTGTGGGAGAGTCATGCTTCGGCACTAATAAGTCGGCTCGACTGGAGTGATACCACGGCCTCACAGAACACACCGACGTGATGTGCATTGTGTCTTGTCATATGAGTGAGTTTACCGGAATTACCCTCCCCTCCCCCCCAATCTGTCCAATCCCCGAATCCCTTACAACCCTCAAATTTTTAATTCCTAATAGGCCGATAACGCACTTGTAACGCCTCTGGTGTTTCAGGTATCCATGGGCGGCGCCGATTGCTTAACATCAGGTGACCTGTATGTTCGTTTACCAGCTCATTCCATTAAAACAAGTAACAAACTTTTACATTAATAATATTAGTAAGATTTGAATATTATATGACTACCTCATTGGTCGTGTGGTCGCAAGTGCGACTACCCGGCAAGGGGTCATGGGTTCAATTCCCGAGTCGGGCAAAGTATTTCTGGGTTTTAAAAAAATCTCAGTAGTAGCACGGGGTCTGGAAATATGTCCGGTATATGGCAATAGGCTCACCCCCCATTATGTGGGACTCATAACATAATATAGTGGCATTAAGTGCCGTAATGTGCGCCTCTGCCTACCCCTTCGGGGATAAAAGGCATGATGTTATGTTATGTCATGTCATAACATAAATAGTGAAAAGTGAGTGTTACTTCTATGTGCACCTCTGCCTACCCCTTCGGGGATAAAAGGTGTGATGTTATGTTATGTTGTTATGTTGAACATTATATTTATTTTTGCACACTGATCTTTAAATCTGACGATAGATATAAACTTCTAGAATGCTGTCAAGAGCTGTTTAGCATATTCATGAGTTTATTTGTCTGGAATGGAGACGCTGACAGGATTGTTAAATATATGTTCAGTGAGACTTTAAGATACTAGTTCTGGTTCGTTTGAAGTAATAATATAAAAATTTTAGTGCTTTTAGTAAATTATGTCGCAAATATTTCTAACTTCTAAGTTTTTCTCTGACAAGGTGCTAGAGAAAGACTTTATACAAATACTTTGTCGAATTTCATAATGATTTATTCATTCTAGATCAAAAGCAAGTACGTAATTCAGTTTCATTTGTAATATTGTACATCGTTGATGATAATAATTTTGTATTATAAAGTTCATTCATGATATCAACCTATATCTATTCTGTCATGTATTTTATCACGGACGCATCTTAAGATTTTGTCTTCTTAAACTTTATTATTATCATCATCATCTACATGAAGAATAGTATCCTCACCTGCGTATACGTCATCCAGCAGCACGGTTCCACCTGGTTGGCATCCAGGCCCCAGAACTCCAGCTCCTCCTCAAAGAGTGGCCCGCAGACGTCTGTAGGGTAGTGGAGCTTGCCCGTTCTAGAAATAAAGATTTTTGGTTAGGCTTTGGAGGTGATTTGACGGGATGATCTTATTAAGTTCTGGGTATACGTTCGAGAGTTCGATGGGGATGATCTCAATGGTCAAAACTCGATGGTTTTAAGTCAAACAAAAATCATCA